AAATGGACTCAGGAAACGATGGTGAGGGCTAGACGTCGAATGAAGACTGATTCGTGATGGCTGTTGCGGATGACTGAAGCGACGCGATGACACATCAAGATGTGGAATGGAGTCGTGCTGTCGGAGTCAGGACGCGGGGACCGTTACATACAGACATCGGTCTGTTGGTGTCAGGCGCAAGATGTAAGGCGGTGGACAGCGACTGAAAGCTACACTCCGTAGGATCGAGGTCCGCTGCCGGAGGGATGTATTTCGTAATGATGTGACGCAAAGGGACCCAGATAAGAATGCCGGCTCGTCAGTCAGCTTTCTTGATTGTTGCTCATGTGCATTTCAGCTTGGGATGATGATAGGTCGTCTGCAAGAGCTGGTAAATGTGCAAATGCGCGCAAACAAGCAAACCCTGGCGAAGTTTGTTCAGGTGGTTGGAAAAGACGAACGGTCAAGCTCATGTGGAAGAGAGAAAGGGGAAGCAGGCCGGTAGATCCCTGATGGAGCACTCACGCAATGGGGGCCGCAGCTACCTGCCCCTCACCACCAAAGAGCTTCCCAGCACCATCCTTCTTTCCTACCTCGCTGCCAATCACGATAAGGCGACTGGGCCACGAGAGATCTCGGCAGCTGCTGGTCTGTGCTGGAAAGCGATCAGGTCCAGACCTGCTTCTCAGGTATGCGTTGCTGATGCCATTCGATGTTGTTGTGCTCTGCTGAGTGCCTCTAAATGCTCAATGGACGCCATCAGCGCCCGACCCCTGGTTCCTGAGCAAGATCCTTGCTAACGTCTGTACGCTGTACGTCGTCAGCAGCCACTTTCATTGTGTTGGAATAGGGTTGCCGAGACATGTTTAACTGCTATTTCTTTGGATCAGTCTTGTGGCCATATTGATCCAATTCCTCGGAAAAGAAATAACTTGCGCCACAACATCATGCTCCGAGCCGCCGATCTCACGCGCCGAACACCAGGATTGAGCCACGATCCATCCACGAAGCACATGTGAATCGTGAACAGAACCAGGGATGAGATAATGAACCTGGTCGATTGCCTTACCTCGGGGCCCGCTGTTCGCCTTTTTTCCGTCGGCAAGTGGGGGCGCGGGATCCGAGCGGAGCACTTTGTGGCCTGAGCTTCACGATAACGTGATAAGATAGTGGGACAGGCTGCTTTAGCGATGCTGACTACAGCTGGACTAGCCACTCAAGGCTCTCGGATAAGCGGGCCTCCGGTACCCAATCCGGGTGAGCTTCACTTTCACCAGCTTCATTTCGTGGTGTTGTTCTCCTCATTTCCGGCTTGTCAACATCCACCAATGTAACGTCTTCCGAGCTCCAAGCTTAAGCTTACTTTCTTGCTTGAGTTGTTCTTTGCTATTGTCCTTCCAGAAACGTACTACGCTGCGTACTGAGAGTGGCACGAAGTGGAAGAATAGATGCAAGCCACGTTTGGTCACGAACGGCGAGTGACACACCGTACAGCTCGGCCAATTCTTGAATTACCCCTGCCTCTATCGGTGCTCTTCCTTGAGCGGCTGCTAAGGTCCGCGCCGCTGCCGGAGTTCTGCTCGGCGTGGGGTGCGTTGTGAACTATCAGGTCTAATTGCCGTAGAGACAATGCCTTTATGCAAATAATGTTTTGTCACTGATTTCGCTTTGTAAGCATTGCGCGAAAATAAACTCCAATTGAGAGCTGAACAAAACATAGCCATCGTCTTTATGATCGACACCAGGTCCATCCAATGCACTATTCCAATAGTTTAAGCAGTCACAACGGCACCCTTACCGGAACAGTCGAGTTGCACAAGCTGTCATTCAGGTGCGCCGGCCGTCTGCAACTGCAACCGATCTTTGATAGGTCCCGAACGTTGGGCCTGCCTCTTGCCTAACCCGCCGTGTTTTCAGGCCGCCCCGCGATGTTCTCACTCGCTCAAAGAGGGAGGTGCCCATCAAGGTGAGGCTCTAATACGCACCTGTACTATGCATCGTGTGGTGGCATCGACGCAGACGGAGCGTTTCTGGAAGGTCGCACTTCCATTCTCTCGGCAACGATGACGCTTTCCCCTACAGCAATGGTGGCATGTGGCACTTTTGCTTCGAGCCTTCCAGAGGGTCTAGCCTCACGACATGGAACTGCCATGAGCAGTTACCACCCCTGAATCACCCCTCCAGGAAGTTCCGGCATTCGTGGATTTCAAAAGGCTTGGCTCTCCTGCTCTCCAGGGTTCTTCAGCGCTCCCGCGAAGCGCCGCTGCAAGATCCTCCTCGCCAAGACCAAGCCACTGGAAACACCAAGCTTTCACCTTCCCTTCGCGATGATCCCTTCCCGAGTTTGCCGCTGCGAACCTTCCGAGGCCAAATAATCTTGGCAGTACCGAACGACCGTGGAATTCAGGTTCCAGCATGCTGAGATCCTCTCCATACGTCTGCGGCCTCATTACGGATATTGTCACTTCATCGTCACACGATCCGGACATGCCGTGGCATCATTGATTTCGTTCTCGAACCTTTCAACTCTTCCGATATTCGTTACCTGCTCAGAGACACAATCCTTCACGATCCAGACAACTGTCCCAGATCTTCGCAGCTGACTCAACGTGACAGCGGCCTCCGGAGGCAGATCCGGCTGACTCCGAACCCGCTCTTGTGCGTCCAGTCTGTCTACGCCCCTCCTGTACCACGTCGCAATCAAGCCACGCCGAAGGCGCCCCGTTGACGCAAGCCTCGGCACCTGCCTTTTCAAGCCAGCTTCCGACGCGCCACTGGCGTTTATTTGTCTTGCAGTGAGGTGGCTCATCGTCAGCGTCACTTCACGATGCATCACAAAGCACAACGAAAAAGAACCCTCGTTGTTCGCAATATCCGTGGGATCATCGATTGCAGACTCCCTAACTTTACTAACTCCCAGCTTTGTAGGTTACGACGTTCTCAATTCCGTTATCGATCGCGCCATCACGACTTCTCAAGCACTACTGATCTCGTTCCCTGCGTCTCCGTCTTCTTTGCCTCTCGCCGTCACCAGCTCCTCTTGCTCTGTTGTTCCGCTGTCTTACACATACTCGACAGACCCCTTCTGTGCTCAAAACTCCGTTCTGCCATACCCGAGGCGTGTTGTTTCTGGCGCACGGTTGATTTGTTCTTTGTCCAAAATCGCACCGATCCAGCTGCCAGAAAGCGTCGAGGTGACCACATTGAAAGCTTCCTGTGCCAGCGATGAGCCTACACATCGTCGTCTAACAAATTTGGATGAAGACTGAAACTTTTTAAAGGTAAAGATGCAGTGTTTCGACTTCAAGGTTTGTATCGCAACTGAGATTAGGAACTGATTGTCGTGATGTCGCTGCCATTTTACGATGTTGTATAACGTGCGGCGTACAGAACGTTGATCTTTGGTCTACAATCCTTTCCCCAAGCGCCTCGACCGTATGCGATGAGTGAATCACAAGAACTGTCCCTAAATAAAGATGACTGGTATAAGTCACGTAAAGTATATCTCTAAAGACTTTTTCGAACGACGGGTGAATATGATGGTTGAAATACTTTCGAGTAGCAACGGCGTTGACACAGTGATTCACAGCAAATCATCGAGACAGTCACAGTATTCACTGATACAAGCGTAGCATGCAAAAATTGAGAGTTCCGACAAAGCCGTTACACCATTCTGTGCTACTGCTATCTCCGGACTCGAGCTATGGACTTGCCGAACTGACCCGCGCAACCCGGGGCCCTGGGACCAAGTCGTCCCGCGAAAACCGATTGTCCCCTGCCAGGACAAAGCATGTTCAGATAAGACCCCCTATTGCGAGGGGCTATGTCACAGAGAGTATCACATGTTCCAACCCTATTCATCTGGTCTGAATTCGATGTCATCTGATTAAACTCAGCCAGGTGGGACAGGAACTTCGCATAAGGTTCAAAAGCCGAGCGCATCGAAGTATGACGAAGTCAAAATAAAAGTTGACTTCAAGATCACCGAGAAAGGTATTCTTCCCAACAATTTCTGACTTTCTCTTTTCTGTGGCATGTGATACATCATCACCCCCGCTGCGTTCTGAATACCTGAGACAGTACCAACATTCACTCAACCTACTCCTGCACAGCTTCCTTCTACCAGCCAGTAAAATCAACTAGTGTGGATGGTGGGCATCCTGCATTATCAATCTGAGATTCCCGACTGATCGAGTATCCCGCGAGACCTCGCTGTTACGCAGAGGACGAAGGAGCTACTCGTAACCAGTAACTGTAATCAGTAGCCCCTTCGTCCTCTGCGGCCCCTTTAGCGTGATGCGTGAACATCACAACTCTCGTATCGAACGATGAGCTTTGCAAATAATAGCTTCACAACATCGACTTGCTGACTCTACATCTTTCATCACCGTAATGGCTCTCGTCCCGCGTTTGGACCCCTACAAGCGGCTCTTGTCGAGATTCTATGAGGCCCTGGTGCTGCTATGGATCTTGCGCCCGGTGAATGGGCCACATATTATATCTCGTCTCGGGAACTACAGCTTGCAAGATGTTCGGAGGCGGTTTCTGAGGAATCTTTGCTTCATCTGCGATTATGATAAGGGCGGCAAGACCACGACTGCAATCGGTGTGGAAGACACTGCTGACGGCCACATTTTCTGGGTATCGTCGAATGAAGGTGCTAAAGACCGCGTAGTTGAGTTTCTCAACGGGGTCTTGAAGCTTTTAAAACACAGCAACGGACATCCAGAAGGCCGCCGGGTCGCGGAGCGAACGTTGATGGCCGACTGCTTGGAATTCGCGAGACGCCGTCTTCATAAAGAGTCAAGAATCCTGCAAAGCGCAGCGAGAAGATGTGCTGAAACACTGAACATCCATCAAATCTTCGGTAAGTCAGACTTTAAAGGCTTTTCTGGTTTAGAATACAATATTTACAAAGCTTCATAGAAACATTGAGTGTTTGGCTCAGACGCTTTGAGGAAGCTGGAGAGAATGATATCCTAGTGTGCTTGACTGCTTACCGTGTCCGTCATGACGACCACATGCGTCTCATTGAGCAACTAGGCCAAGAGACGGAAGACGGCGTTATTTCCCTGAACGAAATGCAACCGTTTCGCAACGCACACCATATGATTAGCCGTCTCGCAGCCCACGTGCGTGTCATTTCTCAGTTGTTCAACGATGCTAGCCGCCTTCAGTCTCTTCTCAAATCGTACCGTGTTGACAAGGTCCCCAAGCCGCCAGCCGCGACGGTCCCAGACGTTGACGACCACATGACCCTCAAAGGTATTCTCAAACGCCTGCTTCAAGCAGGAGACGAGCGCTACGAGACATACCTGAGCTACCTATCTCACATGGAGCCCCAAGTAAACATCGAGAGGCGTCTTCGTGATATATTTGACCTGGAAGAGCCCGGAACCCTCCGACCATGCGTCCACGCGGAAATCCAAATGCTCCACCACTTCCACGACGACCAGCGCAATTTCATTGCGGACGATCGTTACGTCTCTTGTAGCAAGTTCGCATGCATTTGCTGCAATTCCTACTTCCGGAGTCACTCTGCCAACATCACTCTCCTCGACTGCCATCAGAAAACGTACCCGAATTGGGGAATATTGCAGCTTCCTGCCGGCGTCAAAGACAAGCGATGGCTCGATCAGCGCAGGATAATTAACGCAGTTATCCAGGACCTCAAACGAATGGTCGTGGATCAAGTTTCCCAGCGCCACATATCAAGTCTCAATCACCCCGATTCGGTTTCTCAGTTTTCGACCATAATGGGAGACGAACAAGATGACACAGACTCCGGCACAGACGTGTTTGAAGATGGGAGTAGTGGAACAGATACCGGTACGAGACAGCCTTGGAAACAAGATTGATACGTAGCTGACACTCTGGGTAGCAGGTTTCAATGAAGATGGATTGGCTGCTCGAGCTTCGGAAATCTCTCTGCAGGATGAAAGTCCAGGAGAAGATTCCGATACAGGGAGCGGTGTACAGATTTAGTCACTTTAATCCCACGTTTAGACGAAGGTTTCCCAGTAGTCAATTTTTATTTCCTGGTTGTATTTGAATATTTCTTGATAAAGAGAGTTGGTTTTGGTGCAAAATAGCAAACATACATCCCGAACCTCAGTAGTGACAGGGAGCAATAAAAAGAAAATTGGTGGTAAAATGACTGGACACCTCAGTAGCCCTCCTTTTCCAGGGCGCGTTTGACGTGTTTTTTGAGGTTATCCACTTTGGTGAACATCTTGCCACACCGGCAGACCGAACGGGGCAAGTTGAAGTGAGACATGAAATGCTTTTTCATGTCCCGTTGCCAAGCAGATCTCCTCGGGCATCTCGGAAAGGCGCACAAGACCGGTTTGTAGTGAGTCCGGAGATGCTTTCTTCACCCACATTTAGATATTTACTGTCATGTTTAGAGCGGACTGCGGGTTGCTTACCTTCTGCTGCTTGGAGTCTTGAAACCTCTGCAGCATCTTGGCCAGGTGCACGAATATACATCACCCAGGTGACCCAGTTCATCGGGGATGTCGGGAATTTGCCGTTCATCAAATACAATCGATTCAAATTCCACACTTGACCCATCCCGGAGAAGGACGTTGGCAGGAGGGACTTCAATAGTGCGCTCAAAGCCGTGTGGCGGCAGAGAAAGGTCAACCAGGTCCGAACCCGAGACCAGAGTTTGTTCCTCGGAAGATACACTGTTGCTGGACTGACGAAAGGCCTACAGACCTTGTGACTCATCATCCAGGCAGAAATCCGCAAAGATGTAGCTCTGGCTGCTCGTTAAGTCGAAATGCCCTGTGTTGGAAACGTTGTCGACCCAACTCTCATCCGCCCACACGTCACCCAGGGCTTCGGTCAGAAGCGGGCCCTCGGGGTAGTCGTTGGAAAGCGCAATGTCGAGGTCCAGCTCTGCAAGTAGGCCTGCCGAGAAGATACTGTCCTCTCGGGCGCTAGCGTCGAACTCGTCTTCGGGTACTGTGTTGTAGTCAGATTAATGTTCAAACAGAATGGAGCAGAGTATCTGACGATCGTTGTCCATTGAAAGATTGTACATCCTCATCAATCGTGCACCTCCTCCCTCATCTACGACGCTACATCTCGCCAAAAACAAAGGTGTCGAGTGAGGGCGATGTCGATATTTAATACTGTGACATAAACTTATCGTTGAGGCTGCTCTCGACACAACTCCTTTAACCTAGCCTCAAATTACTTCCTACGACTGTGAATTTGTTGAGCTTGTCGTCATCGCGGTCGATTGGAACTTTGTCGTGTCCGCATGTGTTGCCGAGATACTTTACAGGGATGATGGAGGCAGTTCAGTCGAGGCACTAATAAGGAACACAATCCGATGGGATGTCTGGCTGTCAGGTACATCGGCTATCAAAGTTAAAATAGTGGAAGATTCTGTGCAGCACGAAACCGAGAGAGCAATCTACTCATCTCATCCCTGTCTAACTACAAGCTTCGGCAGCGAGGTGTGCATCTTCACCTCCTGATGTTCCATCCAGCAAAATCATTGGAAAGGACCAGAAGCCCATGGGTTGAAGTGACTTTGGCATCGCAGACTGAGCAGGCGACCGCGTTTGCGACGACTGCCTAGTTGCTTGACGCCTCACACCATCACCAGCACTCCGACCCGCGGGTGACTTTTCGATCGGCTAATTTACCTCCATCTGTCGAAAATTAATTTACCCAAGCTTTATCTAAGCCCACGAGTGTCGATTGCATTCGATCACGGTGAATCACGGAGAGACCGTGGGCATTTACCTCTCAGGCCGGAAGGGAACCAATAATTATTTTCATCGCACTCCGCTCCATTTTCAACCCCTCGAGGTTCACTAAGACCTTAGAATTGCATGCAACCATCCTTTCAATATTTCGATCAGACCCATTACCGCGACATATTGATAACAATGGCGTCGCTCCAAGAAGAGTTTCATGAGGAAGATGAATGTGTGTTCATTGGACGGAAATGTTCTGCTATCCGGAGCCATTACTGACTGATATCATACAGCTCAAGAGGCGTTGGTTGAGTCATTCAGAAAAGTCACAATTGATGGGACCAGAGACTCGGAGACGGCATCGGAACCTGAATCGGAGAATGAATCGGAGACTCAACTGGAGCCCGCAGAATCGGAGCTCACAGAATCGAATTGTGCCATACGAACCGCTCTCCAGAATGCCTGTCGGGAAGTGGACGTCAATGAACCTGAATTTATTACGGAAGACCACGCCGTATTTGAACCAGCACAAAGGTTTCGGACCGAATGGAACATAGGACCTGAGCAATGGAACAACTTTGCTCAACTTCTACGGGGATTTCCTCACTTTCCAATAATTTTACTTCAGAATCCGGCACCCTCGCATTGGAAACCATTTGAGGAAATGAGGCAATGTCCAACAATTTCCTGGCTTTCACAGGAGCTGGAAAACATTGGTCTTTCGCTCAATTTGGTTCCCGTCGTAGACGTTTGCAGCTTTTTCAGCGACCAAGATTTGGAGGAGATGGACGTGGACAGAAGATGGGAAGCTGTCGAAGCCTCTTACAAACTCCTCGAAGAGATATTCGATAAGTTACGTCCGACTTTGAAGGTTGTGGTATGTTGTCAGTGCGCAACAAGAGGTCGTTTTAAGGATGATAAGATGATATGGAGGGCAGCCAAAAATCCTCTCGCCAATCAACTGTGTTCGAGGGTCAGAAACGCGATGGAGGGTTTGGCGTTACCAATCTACCTGGACGGCTCAACAATGCCCATCGGCTGGGACCGCTACACCTTGTGGGGTGTGCAAGCATTTCATCCCCGTTACGCCAACTTTGATCCTACGAGTGCTGACGGGATCCTGCTGAGGCAAATCTTGGAAAGAGTATTTCATCCATGCGTCGACTGGTACCGGGAATTCTTCATTTCATCCTTGCTGCAGCTTATTGACGACTTTGAAGAGACGGCTCCGGATCGTCTCCGTGCGACAAGAGAGATGTATGAGTCTGGTTTGCTTGATCCCAATGAAGTGAAGACGATGAAGGCGTTAGCACGCAGTTACTTCAGCAATTGGCAAAGACTTTTCGAGAAGTTGTGTGATTCATATGGAAAACACGAAGATGAGGTTATATGTCGGCTGGAGACCAGGTTCGACGAAGTGGTCAAGAAGACAAAGGAAAAGGTCAATCGTCCTATGACGAATACTACGGGATTCAATGTAAATTACTTGAGGGGCAAGCACACTTAACCAGGACTATAGATTGAACCGCTCTGATTTGGCTGTCTACATATAATCTTGACTAAGGTGAGGTATGATGCTGTCCGACGGAAGTCAAGAGAGACCCATCAAATGCGAAGAAACGAGATGGGTTTGGAGAGATGCGTCAGATATTTAAGGGCGGGGCGTTCAATGAAGCGTGTGTGAATTTGATGGATATGATTGGGCATGTTCCTCAATACATGAATCCGCTGCTGGAGGCCGAACATACTAGTCTATAAATGGACGCCACCGCCTATCGCCAGCAATGACGACTGGCACCAAATCAAGACTTATAAAGGCTTGTCAGGTTCCTACCATACGCCATCGTCTCCAGTACGACTTCGTACTCCCAGAGTGGTTCGGCTTGCTATTTCAACATCATGGGCGCCCAGGCCCCCCAGGCCAAAAAGGAATTTAGGGTATGTGCCTGCACTTTCTTGGTCATGAAACTCTATTCCATTTGATTCAGTGCTTTACACGGACGGCCGAAAACGTCCCCACTGCCGAGCGCTTTATGGACAAATGTAGTTGGAAGAAGTCAACTTCACGGCAGGTACCAACTGATATTTTTGAAACCTCACAGGTTGTGTCAATGCACGGAGATAACCACGAATTCTGGTCAATTGAAAGTATACCAGCATCTCCATCTGAGTCCGCTATCGAGAATTCCCCGTTCACGGATATCACGGAAGATACCAGCGTTGTCCGGCCTCTTCATGACGACCTCACAAACATCAGCCCAGACGTCAAGCCCCCCAGTCCGGTTATGGAAGGTGATTTTGCAGCTGCTGACATTAGGTACAATAGAAACGTCCCGTGCTAATAGGAATGAACAGGCCCAGATACCTTTGCGGGAAAGGCTCGGCGTGGTTCCGTGGATTCATCAATCTCCCTCCGCGATATGTATCCGAATCCGATGATATGGTTTTTACCGAAGACGCAACAGAAAATTTTGATCAGTGTCCAGACCGTTCTGGGAGAGAGTTACGCCAACTTCGCGAGCAAGTGGATCCCAGCAATCTTACACGACCTTCGGCCCCAGCGCGCATCAACAGGAGACTCGCCATTGACTACTGCCTTCGACAAGAAGCTCTGTTATCAGCTTCCAAGCAATGCGTTGGCATTCCGTTCCGCTCAAAGCACTCGGCTAGCCTTCCGTTCGGCCATGGAGCTTCGAGAAGCAATATTGGAGCAAAACGTATTGGACATATGGGAAATCTATAAAATCCTAGACTCAGCTGCAACAATAGCTGAAGGACTCTGCAACGATACTGGGGCAAAAAGAATTCGGGGTCTCAAGCAGGAAATTGAACAAAGACTGGAAACAGCGGAGGCGGCTGGAAGTGAGATGCGCGGTCGTTTGACCTCGCAACTTAGGGACATTTGTCGCCAAAGAGAAGAAATAGACAAGAAAGAAGATGTACTCACATGTGAGATGCTGGAGAAGAAGACTGAGGAAAAGGCTGTCTTGAGTCAAAAGATTGAGGCGTACTTGGAAAGTAATTTCGAGCAGGTGCAGAAAGACAGAAAGACTTGAAACGAACATGCTTGATAATATTTCGAGAACCCAATTTCACGATAGTTTCATGGTTTTTCATGACGAAAACAGCCGACCTTTGACCTA